CTGAACCACATGAGGTCAGTATTGTCTAGCAGCATTACCAATACTTCCTCTGCTTATTAAGCTCTTAAAAACTGTATAGGGGTAAATTAGAACTAAATAACATCATAGAACACTGAGAGCCAGGACTGGTTACTTGTAACAAGCTTTATGGGACTGTGGGAACTTGGCCACACCTATGATAAGTGGATATCCAGCTAACTAAAATCTTGCTGAACCAGAGAGTGTTTGACTATATTCAGTACAGATTGTACCTCTCTAGTCCATTTCACTTCCTTTATGGGACTGTGGGAACTTGGCCACACCTATGATAAGTGGATATCCAGCTAACTAAAATCTTGCTGAACCAGAGAGTGTTGGACTAGAGGTGTACAATCTGTACTGAATATAGTCAATTTCATTTTGGTTCAGCAAGATTTTAGTTAGCTGGATATCCACTTATCATAGGTGTGGCCAAGTTCCCACAATTGTGGGCAGGTTTAGTGCCAACATACTTAACTCACCTTTTGAAATTGAATCGATATCAAACGGTTGGTTTTTTTTCTAGAATTAAAACAATTCTAGCACTTAAAATAGCAATTAGAATCTAAAATATTAAGCTTTGATACAAAACACTTTTTTTTTTTTTAATTATTCTTTTCATCCTTCCCTGACCTCTCTCATCCGCCTTTATTTTTGAACTCGTCTGTTATGACATTCACCCAAGAGTTCTGAAAGAACTCAACTGTGAAATTGTGGAACTATTAAGTATGGTTTGTAACCTAACCCTTAAATCAGCTTCTGTACCCAATGACTGGAAGATAGCTAACGTAATGACAATATTTAAAAAGGGCTCTAGAGGCGATCCTGGCAATTACAGACCGGTAAGTCTAATGTCAGTACTGGGCAAATTAGTTGAAACAATAGTAAAGAATAAAATTGTCAGACACATAGAAGAACATAATTTGTTGGACAAAAGTCAACATGGTTTCTGTAAAGGGAAATCATGTGTTACTAATTTATTAGAGTTCTTTGAAGGGGTCAACAGACATGGTGGACAACGGGGATCCAGTAGATATAGTATACTTAGATTTCCAGAAAGCCTTTGACAAGGTCCCTCACCAAAGGCTCTTATGTAAATTAAGTTGTCATGGGATAAGAGGGAAGATCCTTTCATGGATTGAAAACTGGTTAAAAGACCGGAAACAAAGGGTAGGAATAAATAGTAAATTTTCAGAATGGAGAGGAGTAACTAGTGGTGTTCCCCAAGGGTCAGTCCTGGGACCAATGCTATTCAACTTATTCATAAATGATCTGGAGAAAGGGTTAAATAGTGAGGTGGCAAAGTTTGCAGATTATACTAAACTACTCAAGATAGTTAAGACCAAAGCAGACTGTGAGGAACTTCAGAAAGATCTCACAAAACTAAGTGATTTGGCAACAAAATGTCAAATGAAATTTAGTGTGGATAAATGTAAAGTAATGCACATTGGGGAAAAATAATCCCAACTATACATACAATATGATGGGGACTCCTTTAGCTACAACTACTCACAAGCGAGATCGTGGAGTCATCGTGAATAGTTCTCTGAAGACGTCCACGCAGTGTGCAGCAGCAGTC